AGGTCGAGGCTGCGGTGGCTGGGAGCGGCCACTGCACTCCAGTCTGGGCGACAGAGTGAGACTCCAACTCAAAAAAAAAAAAAGACCAAATTCTATACTTGTAACTGGATCATATTAAATTATTTATTTATTTATTTTGAGTTGGGGTCTCACTCTGTCGCCCAGACTGGAGTGCAGTGACTGCCCCCGGCCACCGCAGACTCGACCTGCTGGGCTCCGGCGATCCTTTCGCCTCTGCCTTCCGAGTAGCTGAAACTACAAGCGCGTGCTACCACGCCCGGCTCATTTTGATTTATTGTGGAGATGAGGTCTCACCAAGTTGCCCAGGCGGGTCTCAAACCCGTGGGCTCAGTCAATCCACTTACCTCAGCCTCCCAAATGTGCGGGATTACAGGCTGAGCCACCGAGCCCGGCTTATTTTTATTTTAGTTGGAGTCTCACTCTGTCACCCAGACTGGAGTGCAGTGGCTGCTCCTGGCCACCACAGACTCGACCTGCTGGGCTCCTGCGTCCTTCCGCCTCAGCCTTCCAAGTAGCAGGAACTACAGGCGCGCGCTACCATGCCCGGCTAATTTTTCGCTTTATTGTAGAGATGAGGTCTTGCCAAGTTGCCCAGGTGGGTCTCGAACCCGTGGGCTCAGGCAATCCACTCACCTCAGCCTCCCAAAGTGTGGGATTACAGGCTGAGCCACTGAGCCCGGCCATATAAAATAATTTAAATCCTCAAGGAAAATAGAGGTAAAATATTTTCATAAAGGAAAGTTGGCTGTATCTGGAGAAAGTCAGAGCTATAATTCTGCAATAATTACAATTCAATTAAAATTTTAGAAGTTAGATGATAAATTATCATTTATAATTTATTTATACAAGCAGATGAGAAAGAATACACAGTTCTTTAAGTAATAAGTGGGTTACTCAGGACCTACCACAATAACTAATGGGAAAGTTCACAAACTGTGTTAGTGGCATCATCTTCCTCATCAAGTGAGAATACACATACTAAATTTTTACTCTACTAAAGCTATTAGAGTAGAAAAGTATTTGGAGTGCAGCTATATATATAACAGGGATATGAAACTCATTTTTATAGTCCATCATGAAATCCTGGGCCAAAATATTATAGTCTGAAAAACTGCTAGTTCAAACTAGGATCTGTGAATCATTACAGTTCTCTAGAAGCCTACATAAATTAGTATGCTGAAAAGTAAGTAAAAATTTTTCTTTTGGAGTCGGGGTCTCACCCGGGCTGAAGTGCAGTGGCACGATTGTGGCTCACTGCAGCCTCCACCTCCTGGTCTCAGGCAATCTTTTCGCCTCAGCCTCCTGAATAGCTGGGACTAGGCACACGTCACCATACCTGGCTAATTTTTTTACTCTTTTTGTAGAGACAAGGTCTTGCTATGTTGCCTAGGCTTAAACAAATCTTTAAAACAGTTATTTGGTGATCAGCCTGGGCAACATAGTGAAACCTTGTCTCAACAAACAATCAAAAAATTAGCTGGGTGTGGTGGTACAGGTCTGTAGTCCCAGCTACTCAGGAGGCTAAGAAAGAAGGATCACCTGAGCCCAGGAGGTTGGGGCTACCATGTGCTGCAATCAGAGAGAGACGCCAACTCAAAAAAATAAAAATTTAAACAATATCAACAAAAAAACAGCATTGGGGAACATGTTTCCAATTCTGATTCTTGACAAGGTTTATAGTTAAACATTGAAGCTGCTAATATAGAATTCAGAAAATCACAAAATAAACTGTACAATGTATGCCAAAGTACTTAAAAAACTTACACATCTTTTCTATCCCAGTATCTCTGTGAAGTGGTATCATAATGAAGCAAATAAATAAGCAAACTAGTCAAACTATTAGTCAGCAGTACCTAGCACAGTGCCTGGCACATAAAGGGGTGCAATATTTGTTGAATGAATGAATAAACTTTGTTTCCTTTTTAAAATGAGAGATGAATGGTCTCGCTATGTTGACCAGGCTGATCTTGAATGCCTGGCCTCAAGTGATTCCCCAACCTCAGACTCCCAAAGTGCTGGGATTACAGGCGTGAGACACTGCTCCAGTCAAATAAGCAAACTTTAAGCTCTGCCAATTCATTCCCTATCACAGACAATTAACCTAACAATACTTCTAACCAGATATGTACTTAGACAAAGCATATCTTAAAGTCTAGGTGACTAGGTTAAACATATTGACTAAACCATCAAAATGTCTGCCTAGACAAATATTTACACAAAGCATAACTTAAATATCTCAATTGCCTATCACTTGTCCTGGGCTTGAGGAATGGGGGAAGGGTTGGAGGTGATTAATATTAAAGAGGAGTAGAAGTGATATTGTACATGTGGCTATTAACCAACCTAGTAAGTGGTCACAGGCAAGTTTCCTGATCCTGAGTTTCAACCATAATTGCATATAAGTATAAAATGAAAGGCAGTCCACCTCTACTTCAATCTTGAAATACTGTTCAACTAACACATTTACACAAACTGCACTTAATAATTTAAAATGACCCATGTGACTGACTAAAATTTCTCCCTGTTTAATATTCTGCAAGAGGTAGGGATATTTGTTAAACATACCCCAGTTCACTTTTTTTGGCTTTTCTTCAAAGAGAAATATGCTCTATAACAAGATCTCACAAGTGCTGAAGTTTAAGCTCCTTTTTTTACTGTTAGTCTGAGTTCTAAAAAATTAAGACTCAGTTGATATCCCACTTCTTAACCTGAAGACTTTAGTCCTGATTACTAAGACCATCTCAAAAAAACCCTTATTTTCAAAGTTCTTCATAATTTTACTATATTTCTTTGAATTCACTATAAAATTTCTTCTTAAATATTTGAATGAATATAATTCCAATATCGAATAAGAGGGGGGGAAATTCATGATTTGCAGATATTTTACTTTTCAGAATATGTTCTCACCTCTCCTTTCATTTAAACTAAAATTCAAATAATATCAAAGTGACAATATATGACTTATGGTTCACTTAGACCTTTTTTTTTGAGTTGGAGTCTCACTGTCACCCAGACTGGAGTGCAGTGGCTGCTCTCGGCCACTGCAGCCTCGACCTGCTGGGCTCCAGCGATCCTTCTGCCTCAGCCTTCCAGTAGCTGGAACTACAGGCACACGCTACCATGCCTGGCTAATTTTTGATTTATTGTAGAGATGAGGTCTTGCCAGGTTGCCCAGGAGGGTCTCAAACCCGTGGGCTCAGGCAATCCACTCACCTCAGCCTCCCAAAGCATGGGATTACAGGCTGAGCCACCGAGCCCGGCTTCACTTAGACTTTTACTTAGTATATATATAAAATTACTATATATGTATATAGCAATATATATATTACTTCTCTCTTAGGCAACTTTTGCTGATTAAAAAGAAAATAATACGTAAAATTAGAGAAAATTATTTATATGCTACTAAATAAAATAAATACCTTTACTGTAGGAAAGCCTTGCTGTGTTCTATCTTTTACTGAGCCACGGCTGCCCTCAGTCAGATACCGAGCTCGGTGCTGGGTCTCAGGCTGTACAACTATCTTCAGCTCCTTTCCTTCACTTTTAACAGGATATTGTCCACACAACATAGGGCTCTTCTTTACTCCAGTTCCTTTCTGGTTTTCCAATGTTCTGAGAAATCAAAGTACAACATGGAGAAAGTATCAAAAAAGAGTTTTCTATAAAGTCACCTAAGATAAAGGAAGAAATAGGATAGGCAATAACAAAAACTGCTTAGCTTATTGGCAAAATAAAATGCGATCTAAAATGAAGATACATTCTATAAGTAAGGTATCTTTTAGTTTAAACATATGGTACAAAAATAAAGTTGGGCAGGAAAGAGAAAGAATGCATATGAGTGGTGGGAGGAAGTCTGAGTTTAATAAACTGAGAATAACAGGAAGGAATAGTTAATGTCATTGTAACCTTTCACAGTGCATGTCAGTCAAATAAAATTTTAAAATTTCATATGTAAGTGAGTCTTAAAGGTCTAAGATTAACTATTATTCTCTAGTCAGACTTACAAAAAAAAAAAAAAAAAACCCACACACACATATACAAAATAGCCTAAAAAACCAGGTAAAGGTATACGTAGTATATTCTTTTGGATCTTTCTCAGTAAATCAAACTGAAGAAAAATATAATACAAGATCATGGATTCAATTTTTATTGAGAATTAGTTTTATTCTAAATAATGTTTCCCAGAAATATATAATTTTTTCAGAGTAGTTTTATTTGCGATTAAAGAATTACATATTTAATCTGTAAAATAGTTGAAGCATTGCAAATATGTAATAAAAATAAGTAGAAAACAATATGGTTGGTTATCTTTCCTTTTGAGCAACATGAAATAGATGTAAAATTATTCCTGTACTTTTTAAAGCAGAGTCGAGACCTTTTCTGTCATAGGAATGCAGTAAGACTGACTAGATAAGAGAGTCAATGGGCCGGGCGTGGTGGCTCACATCTATAATCCCAGTTCTTTGGCAGGCTGAGGTGAGAGGATTGCCTAAAACCACAGGTTCGAGAACAGCCTGGGCAACTTGGTGAGACCTCATCTCTACAATCAGTCAAAAATTAGCCAGGTGTGGTTGTGTGTGCCTGTAGTTCCAGCTACTTGGAAGGCAGAAGCAAAAGGATCATATCAACCCAGCAGGTCAGGGGTGTGGTGGCCATAAGCAGTGTGCCACTGCATTCCAGCCTGGGCGACAGAGTGAGACTCCAACTCAAAAAAAAAAAAAAAGAGAGAGTCAATGCTTTTCTATGACTCTCTCAGTACTAAATTTTGACTCATATTGAAGATTCAGGACCCAGGAGATGACTGTGGACAAAATCTCCTCTAAAAGAAACCAGATTCCAGGAGGAATACTATGACTTCAAATACTGACTTTAAGCAACCTTAAACCTGGCTCTGATGTTTACCCCTCCAGTTGTAACTAAGTTGTGGCCTCAATCAACAAGAACTCTAAGAAATGCAGTACCCTTGATGGAAATGGGGACTAGGTTTCCATGGCTATGAAAGGGACAGAATTATGGAGGCATGAAAGAATGGAACTGGCACAGGAATGCAGTAAGACAAACTACATAAGAGGAAAACTTCTCAGGGCAAGTTCTGTGCATCTTCATATTCCCTGAATCCTGTGCAGTTCCTGAAATATAACAGGTGCTAAGAAAGAAGGGACATAGAAAGGAAAGCAGAGGATAAAGGATCTATAAGAGTAAGACAAGAAAGACCTAAGATGAGAAAGGTCCTAATTGGACAAGGAATGCCATACTTGTGTGACATAATTGAGTCAAAGATTACCTGTGCAAGTCATTTAAAAAGTCCTGGAAGAAGAAATTCTATAAACAAAGGTATCAAGTTGAAGCTGGAACAATGGGCAATAAACCCTGTTTTTCTTTTCATCATTCTGGGTTGAAATCCAAACATTTGGTCTGAATAGTATGCAGTTCCTCACACATTTAAAGTCTATGATACTTTGTTTCATACTAATCTTAAAATTAAAACAAAAATTCTCATTTATTGAAACTATGTAAAAAAATCCTCCAAATATACATATAAAAGGACTAAAAGAAAATACAGCAAAATGATAAAAAGCAGTTGTACTGAATGACTAGATTATGGTTATTTTCTTGTATTTTTCAAATATTTGAAATTCATATCTATTAATTTTATAATAGAAAAGAGAAAACTAGTTTGAAGTAAAAGAAAAATTTGCAGAGCATATCAATTAATTTGGCAAGATATGTTTTTATATTCACTTATGCTAGTCAAGCTAATATTTTATAAGAGTAAATAAATGAAAATGAGTTTTAATAGTCCAGGAAAACAAAACATTTTCTTGGGATAAAGACTGTTGAGCGAGTTGACAAAGAATACATATTATGTATATACATTATGACTTAAAGAAGATAGTATATGTAATTAACCAGTTTCTAAAATTATAGTTTAAAAAAATCCTTAAAACTATCTTTACTCTCTAAGCTTAAATGTAAAAATGAAATACATACAGATTTAGATCTATAAACATGTAAACCATGAAAACATTAACTAATGCTCAGAAAAGTCATTCAGATTACTAATCATAAAGGCATGACAGCTTAAGAAAAAACAAGAAAGTAGTAGTTAGTTCTATCGGATTTTACTCCTAAATGACAACTAAGAAGGAAAATCCACCTCCACGGCATATTCTATTCAGAAGTCCTAAAATGCCATACTAATTTCTTTGTGCTGCATGATCCTTCTGGCTACATATATCACAAACATAATTTTCACTACAAAATGCCTAAAAAATAGGTTTCACATCCAGATGACATCATATCTTAACTTCTAGAAATATCTAGAAGAGATATGGGGCAACTGAGTCTCAGAATATTTAGCTGAAAAATTTAAGAGGGATATGGCTAGAAATATTTAAATACTGAGTTGTTTTTTTTTTAATTAAAAAAGAACCTGTAACTCTAACATTTTAGTTATATTAAAATGCTATTTTCATCCACAGGCTACCAAGGTTTATATGTAGTATCCTGAAGATCAATAAACTGCTGTACATAACAAATTTGAAAGTACATTTTCTAAATACTTAGTATCATGTAAAATTGCAAATTTGTGGCACATTAGATCTAAGGCTATATACCTTATCTCGCAAAACATTTTAAACTTTCATATTTCTAACATCTTTCTCATTGTTGAAGAGTATAGGCTTTTAGCTTGAGATGCTCTGAAAAATTGTTTTCAAGGTCTGTTTTTCTGTATATTTACATATGGCTTCATCCTTTCCTCCATATAGTTCATATAAATTCAAATTTTAAACTTCTTCCATCATTTCCATATACTAGTGTCAAATATTTTTTCATTACCTAAGAAGCTGGACATTTCTTCTGCTGCTTGATGGAGTTTCTGCTCCATGAATTATTTCATGAAAGACTTTGTCTTGACCAACGTCATTATACTTTCCCTGGGTAACCTCAAATCATTTCTAAGATACATCTATCATACAAAAGTAGAAGCAGAAAAGATGTAGGTCAAGATATCTCTTTAATTAGCAACTGCAAATCACTGTGTTGACTATCTGTAAGTCAAAATTTCATTTGCTCTTAATTTGAACCTTTAATTCAAAATATAAATGAAAATCTGTGTTCTGAAATTTTATAAAAGATTTTGTCCATTGAAGCCCAAATAAATATATACATGTATTTAATGACATTCATGAGCCTTTTAGATCTGTGCTACTAGTCACAATTACTTAAGTATTCTCCTATGATATTTGGTATGTTTGAGCTTTCATTTTATATGTAACTATGTTATGATCTAAAATTCTGGACTCTGTTAAATGGCAACATTTTAGGAAAGGGTATATCTTGTTTTCTTTTAGGAAATTTCCTAATCTGGACTCCCTAAAACTGAAAAGCATTTAAATGTGCATTTTTATTTAACTACATCACCCCAAAGGAGTTTTAAATGAAAGTATTAAAGAAATAGTATAGAATAATTACTGTTTAAATGGTAGATATTACTCTAAAAGTGTACTGAGGGAACATTTAATGACAAGTTTAATATACATTAAGAATATTCTCCATAATATTCAACCAGATATTTAACATTAAAAAAATGATGTCATCAAGTAGTAAACCAATCTAAAGCTTCTTGACCACTTTTGTGACTACCTGAGCTTGATCCTGGGTTCCAGTGAGTTAAATTTTATCAAACTGTTGAATATACTACAGGAAAATCTAATTTAAAAGTCTAGCAACTAACGATTACCATAAAATTACAAAAGAATTAAAAATAAGTCATAGTAGCCTGCATGATAGCAGTAAATATTCTTTAATATACTATAGCTATTGAAACATATTTAGTGAGTAGTGTGAACTGGCAGATATGAACAAAAACTCAAATGTGAACTATGATCCTGTTCTATCACCTTCCAAATAAATAACCCAGAATCACAGAAAAAAATGGTGATTAACAAGAAATCCTGAGTTGGCACAATCAATGTATCCAAGGAAAAAAGCATAAAACATGTAAACCTAAATGATGAGAACCAATCTATAAATTTAGTTTTTTCTTGTTTTCACCAAATAAAGAGAAAAAAACAACAAAGTCTAAAATCTTCTAAAAAATGTAATAGATTAAGCCATATGAAGCTACAATGTGAAGGAAAACACAGCTCTTAGTGACTGTTTTGAGTTGTTTTAGCTATAGTCATTACATTGCTAGTTATTTCTATGAGTAAAAATATTTTAAAATCCTTTTAAAATGTAAATTCGTTTGAAATTTAAAAGTTATTCCACTGCCTAAATATCTATTGCTATAATCTATTGTTATTTTATTTTTTATCTAGTAAAAGTTGGTAATTTTAAGTTAAAATTTTCATGTATTTCAATGATAAAATAAGCAACTTTGCTTTATATGCAAACTTGAGCTGAGCAATTAAGGAAAGTTGGGAATGATTTATTTTTTTGTTTTGCATAATGGTGATAGAACTTTAAAAAATTTGAATACCAACCCATTTCCTGCTTTTGAGTTGCCTTTGTTGTCCGTGGTAAGCTGAGAAAGCACATAGTGAGGTGCTTTGGCACTGTCGGCATCAAATATATCCATATTAGATTCTTCACAATCTCGTCGTTTGACCCCCGGCCTCTGCTTTGGATTTCGTTTTCGTGATTTACGAGGTACCTCAGTGTTATCATTGTAGGAACTGGTGCTCATGTTACTGAAGTTGGAGGGGGAATCCTCCATCCACATACTGCAGCTCTGCTCAGATTCCAATCCACACCCCTCATCCTGGCAGGACATCCGACTGTTATCCAGCAAGTCCTCAGGTGGTGGTGAGATGTACAAGACTGTGTGCCTCTTCGGTGTTGATGGATGCTGCTGAACTGTGTTACTGGTTAACTGCTTTTCACTTACCCCTCTGTTACTTACCCCCACAGCTGAGGAGCAGCTCTCCACTTGCATAGCCTTGCTGTCGGTGACTGAGGTAGAATAAATGGTAGGGCTGGAAGAGGTGGTAAAGGAGCTGCAAGCACCGCCCATGGAGGAAGAGGAGGGAGCTGAAGAAGCATCTGCAGTGTACAATTCAAGAGTAAATACACTATACATGTTTTCACCTATGCTGGCTAGCAGTCCCATTGACAATGTGATTTATAAACTGATTTTTTCCCCAAAATGAGTAGTCAGAATTTGGTCAAGTTTTAGAATATTAAAGGCTTCAAGCAAAACAAGGCCTAAGAAATGCAATTTTTAAAAATGCCCAAATAGCATTATTTTACTTGTGTTATAATTGATAGATTTTAAAAATCTAATTTAATGTTTTAAGCTGTAAAGCAAGAATAAAGCTTTTATTGCCTCAATTGGACGTTCTACTGAATTTTAATCATTTATAGTAATAAAGAAAACCCCAATATGAAAGATATGCTTGTGGTCCACATTCAATGCCAATTAAATAATTTATTATAGAATTTGAAAAGTGGGACTGTGCTTAGCCACAAAATATTAAAATAAGTTTCTAACCTATGAAGCAGAGAACTACAGGTCATTTTTAATGCAGACACTCCCTGCTTCAGAGGCAAATCCTGGAATAAAAATATGAGAAAATAAATGAGAAAAGAGCTGCGGATTATTCCAGATATCAATTATAAAATGAGAAATAAGTAGAAAAAATATATAATCAACTGAATTGGAGGCAAAATGGAACTGGTACCGTCACTATGATTGATTGTAAAATCTAGAAGAAAAAAAGATGAAAAAGGGTTGATTTGGAACATGCTAGGTTGTAGAAGATAAGCAAGTTAACCATTAAGATCTCCAGAAGTTGGAAGTGGCAGTTTAAAACCATAAGCTCTAAAATAGATAAATCCATCCTTTTTGACAGAATGAAAAGTAGAGTAAGGACTGATTACTGGATGGATTTATCTTATAAAGTACTTGATTACATGCTCACCAATTGGTTACCACTGTCCATTTCTTGTCTCTTTAAAAAGTCTGCTTAATTGTGACTATTAAGGGAATTTCCTAATATAAGAGTAACAGTAAATTTTATTGGCTGAAGTCTGAAAGAAAAGAGTTAAGTATGAAAATCTCTTGAGAGCATTAGAATTAATTTCTATAAAAGTTTAATAATATATCATTTATTATGCCCAGCAAAAAAGATTTAAGTAGATCTTTTCAGAATGTGTGGCAACTGGCAGACTTTCTCGCTGAAAATAACAGCTCATTGAAAATAATACTACTTAAGCTCTTTTTTTTTTTTTTTTTGAGTTGGAGTCTCACTCTGTCACCCAGACTGGAGTGCAGTGGCCGCTCCCGGCCACCGCAGCCTCCACCTGCTGGGCTCCGGCAATCCTTCCGCCTCAGCCTTCCAAGTAGCTGGAATTACAGGCATGCGCTACCACGCCCAGCTGCTTTTTTGATTTATTGTAGAGATGAGGTCTCGCTGCCCAGGCGGGTCTCGAACCCGCGGGCTCAGGCAATCCACTCACCTCAGCCTCCCAAAGGCGTGGGATTACAGGCTGAGTCAGCGAGCCCGGCTCACTTAAGCTCTTAACAGCATAACTTCAGAGGCAAACTAATATTACTAAGGTTGGAAGTTGTCATTCCTAAAATTTTAATCTTGTATACAATATGAAAAGGTTTATAAAAAGGTTTATAATCATACTCACAAAAACTATATAGGTGACATGTGACAGAAAACTCACAAAAACTATATAGGTAACATGTGACAGACAACTAGAAGACATGTTTAAATCTAAAATTAATTTGTATCAATAGCCAAGGATGCCACTGTTTTAAAGTGTACAATAAAACTTAAAACTGTAATGTGCAGTTATTGAAATTGCAACAGTCATATCAATTATAATATTAAGAGTGAAATGTAGGAATGTCAATGTTTAGATAATCAAAATCAAGTGTCTAAGATCTATTTTTAATTGAAAACATGTATCAAAACACTTAAATTATTTGAAAGAACTATATCCACCCAGAATCTTTCATTGCTGTCAAGGCTAAAGAGCACAGTAATTAATCTTAGCCTGCAAGATTGTAATCTATATAATGCCACATGGAAAGATTTTTCCCAACTACTGTAAGTCAAAGAATCTAAAGCAATTAGATGATACCAGTTCCATTTTCCAGTTTGTATCCTTGTCAAATGCAGTAGCTGAAATTGGAAAATTCAGTCACTTTAAACTGCATTCCAATTTAAAGAAAAACTTATCAATTTTGTATCATGCATTAATGCAATGTTTTCTTAGTAAATAAATATTTTAAAAGATTTGTAAAAACTACAAAATCTAGATGCTAATGTCAGTGACAGTTTAGGAGCTGATTTGTAGCCACTTTGGGTTTAAATACAAAGTTTTTTCCTTGTCTTTTGGAAAATACTGCAGAATTCATTTTAGAAAAAACAAAAAGTTATTATATCTAAAATTCCTCCATCTGTTCCAACTATTGGTAAAAATGAAACTAAATTTTTGTGTGTGCATGAGCTTAGGTTCTTCATTTTCAGAGAAATACAAGTATGCAGCGTGCAATATTTGCAGTGGAAAACACAAAGCATGCAGCATGAATGTTGTGAACTTGTATTTCTATAAAGCAGATATCTCCCACCTACCCTTTTTGAATCTAAGTATCATGTACGTGAGAATGCGGAATATAAATATCTCAGGAATCCCTGTCCATGACAGGTGGGAAGGACAGGCGCAAAGCAGTCATGAACTCAAAAGCAAGTTATATGGTGCTCAATGATCTAATATGCAAGATATAACCTAGCAATACTCTTTGAAGTAAAAATTTTATCTTGCAAATCTGATCAAAGCCACATGATTATAAAGACCAGCTGATATAATAGTTATACATCAGTGTCTGTTCTGGGACAGGTATGCCAAACTGTGATATCATACCCTACATAAATTTAAATATTCTACACATTTTCCAGGGACACCTAACACACAACTGTTGCATTTTACCTGCAACTCCCTGAATATACTTATTCAACAATAGGGTTCACTAGCATAAAACTGTAACACTGAAAATATTAACTCTGTCAAAAGACAGCAGTTAAGCATCTTGTAATTGAAAAAATAATATTACTTTTTAAACTGTACTTCAGCTTGGTCTCAAAATTATAAAGATTCTACTACTTTTAAGACAAGTGAGATAATTTTTTAAAACTATAAACTTATTTACAGTGGTATCACTGATACTCTGATGATAATGGGGTATAAAATTTTTCACATCAAAATGTTACATTCTGGTTAGCAAGAGGTCACCTAAGCACATTAATATAATGCAAGGTGAAGTGGTGAAGTGGTGGATAAAAACTATGGGCCCTTTGAGAGCACTGACAATATTTTTCTCATTTTAGGCCCTCTCAACACCTACCATAGTACCTTGCAGGTAATAAAATTCAAATTTTAATTAAATTGACTTATGGAAAGTAAAAAATTTGATATGCGTTTTGAGTTATATAAAAGTTAAACTGGTAAATAAGTGTAGGTTGAAGAAAAAAGGGATTTACTATGCAAAGTACTTAGAACCTATATTACTATGATAGCATTATTTGACACAGGGAAAATACTAAAGGTTTAGAGGTAACTATTATCTCTACAAAGAGTGTGCTAATAATTTCCTTTCCTTAAGCTATACATAAGCCAAATACCTACTTATATATTACTTCATAAATTTATCAAGAAAAAATCCTCAATATTACCCCACTAAAATATAAATACATTAAAAAAGATATTCTTTTAACTTTATATCCTTTTATATTTTATAAATATTTATATATATAATTTAAATATATTTATATTCTTTTTATATTTTAATACATTTTTAAATGGTATTCTTTTTAATTTATATTTATATTCTTTGAAATTTATAAATTCCTGCAAACAAAATATGCTAACTATCCCATCCTGCCTTTTTTGGTGCTAAGCCTCTATTTTTATTTGTTAGGAATGTAGAGACTATGTTTAACTGCTACATATTAAAAATGCAGAAACTCCAACATAAAAATGTTTTAATAACAGCTTCCCTCATTAAGAATAGTTAAAATGTATTTCTACTTCATAATTTTATTTCTTCCTTAAGTCTTTTACCAATCCTTCTTAAATCTGGAAGTTTTTCTTAAAATTGTCTCATTTAACAAATATGTGAATATATTTTTATTACTTTTTCTTTTATGGAAGAATTATCTTTAAATCTAGTCTAACTTATATTGAAGAATTTTATTTTATTTTTGAGTTGGAGTCTCACTTTGTCCCCAGACTGGAATGCAGTGGCTGTTCCTGGCCACCGCACCCTCGACCTGCTGGGCTCTGACGATCCTTTCACCTCAGCCTTCCAAGTAGCTGGAACTACAGGTGTGTGCTACCACACCTGGCTAATTTTTTTGATTTATTGTAGAGATGAGGTGTTACTAAGTTGCCTGGGCGGATCTTGAACCCGCGGGCTCAGGTAATCCACTCACCTCGGCCTCCCAAAGTGCTGTGATTACAGACTGAGCCACTGAGCCCCGCCAAGAATTTTATTTTTTCTACAGCATTTTCTGTGATCATAGAGAGCACAATGAAGCAAAGAGAAAATTAATAGACTATTCTACAATTTACTAATGGAAATTTATAATTTCAGAATAGATTAATTTTTTTTTTTGATTGGAGTCTCACTCCGTCACCCAGGCCAGAGTGCAGTGGCACGTTCACAGCTACCTCAGCCTCGACCTGTCAAGCTCAGGTGATCTTTCTGCCTCAGACTTCCAAGTTGCTGGAACTATAGGCGTGCAATAGCATGCCTGGCTTATTTTTGGATTTATTGTAGAAGCACGATTTCATCAAGTTGCCCAAGCTGGTCTTGACCCCCTGAGCTCAGGCAATCGTTTCACCTTGGCCTCCCAAAGTGCTGGGATTACAGGCTTGAGTCACTGTGCCTGGCCTTAATTTTAAAATTCAAAAGTAAAGGGCAGTGTCGTATCTATAGTGTCCTATATTTAAATCTAATCCCACTATTAGCATTAGTCAACTACCAGACCAATAATAATGGTAAACTTGAATTGTATATATGGCCTCTT